TCCAAACATGTCTTTCTTCAGCTTACACCTGTTTGTCTTGAAACAGAAAAGGTGCTCATGATTTCTCTTTTGCATGACCTTCAGAAATTGTAGCAGAATTTCTCGATAATGCACAAAAATCATCTCTTCCAGATCTACCTGTTTAAGTCCTGTGTATGGGAGTGGGTTGTACATCAGAACAGCTCATATTTCAGATTTATGTGTTCTCCATATCTCTATGTGCATTCACCAGAACAGCGATCTTACATGTCTGATCACTTTTACTTGTCATTTTCAACGTCAAGAGTTTTCATTATGAAATATGAAGCTCAATTACAAGCCTCATATTTGATTCCCAATATTTAAATGATATGAAATCTGGTGAATGTTATATTTCACCTCAAAATAAAGCTAAATCATTTATGTTAGGTGTGTTAGTGTGTGTGCCTTGTATTCCTGACGTTGTTGGGACCAAATGTCCCCACAAGTAAAGCAATAGTAGTAACTTTTGTCCTTGTGGGGACTTGGTCTCAATAAGGAAAATGGCTCGTAAATCACACAGAATGAAGTACTTTAAACAATGTAAGGATTGGTGTAAGAGAATAGAATATACGGTCTGTACAGTATATAAATCATTATGTCTATTGGAAAACCACATAAAGATAACTGCACAAGTGTGTATGACACAGATCTATATAATGACATAGTTATGACATCAGTATTACAAGAAGGTGGTGAAATATGACACCACATATCACATTGCTAATTCATGTATGGAAAATACAGTTTGTACAGTATAAAAACAATGAAAACCTACGTAATGTCCCCATAATTCACAAAAACAAGTATGACAAATCAAACGTGTGTGTGTGTGTGGTCCTAATGTTCTTTACGTTGTGGGGACCCCACAAGTATCCAAATGTCCCCATAAGAACAGCAATACCAATAAATGTTGACCTTGTGAGGACATTTGTAGCTACAGCCATATCACCCTGCAGCCCAAGACCGGTTACTAACTTAAGCTAAGCAGGGCTGAGTCTGGTCAGTACCTGGATGGGAGACCACATGAGAAAACTAGGTTGCTGTTCGATAAAGATGTTAGTGAGGCCAGCAGGGTGCACTCAACCTGCGCTCTGTGCGAGTCCTAATGCCCCAGTAAAGTGAAGGGGACACTATACTGCCAGTGAGTACCATCTTTCAGATCAGATGTTAAACCGAGGTCCTGACTCTCTGTGGTTATTAAAAATCTCATGGCGTAAGAGTAGGGATTTAACCCTGGTGTCCAGGCCAAATTTCCATCCATCGGCCCTTAAGCCTCCTTTCCACTGCACATGACAAACGACAACCAACAGGCCGGAAGTCATTCATTTCCAATGGAGAGTAGTGCGGGAGCTGGAGTTCCGATCATCTCCGTATGCGGAAAATTCGGATCCGATTTAAGCTGCGCATCCGTTGAAATATTTGAACTCCTGCGACTAGACCGGATGCGACCGACCGACTGACCGAATGTGATGTATTCCACTGTTGTCCAAGCAGGTCCATGTGCGTGAGATGAGATATAGTAGTTTTTTTTGGTCATTTTTTTTAATCAGAAAAAGTTTCTATTCATAAATGTAAGTCCACATTCCCTCCAATATTTTTAGCGGTCTATGAGTTTCTAGTATTCATTAATTTATTCAACCATGATGAACGCATGGAGAATATAGGCTCTTGCTTTTATTTCGGATACTGCGAGAACAGCTTTTCTCCCATGGTGCATGTCAGAACTGAAAATTCTGTGTGACTGCCACAAGAGGTCGTATTCCGACAGTCATGTCCAAATGTCATGTGCAGTGGAAGGGCAGCTTTCCCCATCATGCCCAATTATCCTCATCCACTGAATTGGCTCTATCACTGTCTCAACACTCCACCAATAGCTAGTGTTTGGTGAGCGCAAACACCCCTAATGATTGTTTGGGTGTATGGCCATGCACAATAAATACACTATATCAATACACATTACTTACTTACTAAATATGAATACACTGATCATGCATGTATAGAAAATACAGTTTGTACAGTATAAAAACAATGGAAACCTATGCAATGTCCCCACAATTCACAACAACAAACGTGTGTGTGTGTGTGTGTGCGTGTGTGTGTGTGGGGTCCTGATTGTTTTCATATTGTGGGGACCCCACAAGTATCCAAATGTCCACACAAAAATAGAATAGAAATACCAGTAAATGTTGACCCTGTGAGTACATTTATTGAGTCCCTTTAATACAAATTGGCTGTAAAACTGCAACATGTGTTCTGTGAGGGTTAGTTTAGGAGTACTAAAGAACAGAATATACATTTTTTTACAGTTAAAGCCCATTATGTCTATGGGAAGTCCCCATTAAACATGTATAATTGTGTGTACCGCTGTAGAACAACTTAAATATTCTCAGTTCATTCTCAGATTTACAGGATTTGTTTGAGTAAATGGCTTAAAGAAACGATTAGGAAACAAAGTACCATTTAAATTAATTATTAGACAACATAATACCAATGTTTTAACATCAGTTATTCCTATCATTTGCCTTTTTTAAATGCTCTAAATATATTTTTATTTTATATAACCCCTCCATTGAAGAAAGAAAATCCACAGTGGTCACGGTAAATACGTAAAACTGAAAAAGTAAACATTAATAAAAAATGCAACCCAGGCTCATTCTGAAAACGTAGTCCCGTGTACGTTTCTGGAGACTGTGAAATACGTCCTGGGAGGTACGTATTTTTTGCAGTTTTTGTTTTCGCAAATCCACGAGAGGGCGCTGTGCACGCTTTTTTGCATCTCAAATGTCTCTCGCGAGTTCCGTTTGCAACAGCACCCGTGCTGTTCTTGTGTAAACCCACCAGAGGCCGCAGTCGAACGACCATCTGTCCAACTGGCTGAATGATTGACTGGGCGACCAGCCAATCGGCTGACCCACCCTCCTCTTTCCCTTAACCCAACCAATTTTACCGATTGACCCGCCCGCCCGCTTACTTCCCTATACCCAACCAACAATTTACCAAAGCCGTCCAGAAAAAGAAAAGCACTTGTTTGTTTTTTTATCACGTTTTGGGATTTTACCGCATTCTCACCTTCATGAACTTCATCAATTTATTTTTTGGATTTTGTTTTTGTCCTACCTGATTTCTGGAAACGCTCTTCCCCGGACTCAAACCCGGTGGTCGCCGTAGTCAGCTCCTCTCTGCGTCTCAAGTCCACCGACGTACATGATGAGCTAACCGGACAAACTGGTTGCAACATGAAAGCCCTCCATACGGAGGTGAGCGCTCAGCCGGTAAGCGTGAAAAGAAACGGTGATATACCGCCCCGTAACGTTCGCTTAATAAATGAAATGCAGCCATACATACCTCCGGCTAAATAATTTGTGTTCTCCGGAAATGTCCGCAAAACAACATTTTCAGAATGTGCCTGGGTTGAAAAATGCCAGGAAATTAACTATTGAAAATCCGACATTGCTTTCGAACTGTGGTTTAACAAGAGCATTAATAAAGGCAAACTAATGAAATTGACCTTGACAAAATTGGAAGGGTACCAACAATTTCATCCACATCTGTAAATGCACAATAGGCTTAATTTGTTATGCATAACATTATTTTATTTTTTTATTTTACTTTTGGGGTGAAATATGACCTGGATTTGTTTTCGTAGATAAATAATCAACACCACAAATCAGTGTGTTTTGCTGTTATGTTTCATATGCAATGTCAAGGAGATACAGTATAAAATATTAAACACGAGGTAAGTGAGTTGTAAAACAAGCACGCTGTGAAACATGTATAAATATCTTATTTTGTGTGGTGCTGTTCGTGAAATAAACATAGAGTTATGAATTATAAATTAAGCAACATAGATGCTGAATTAATTTAAGACTGGATTCTTAGAAAGCCTCTTTTGTAATGTCAGGTGGATATAAACATTAACTTTGAAGGATATAAAATGTTTGCACTTAAATAAGCTTTTAATATGTCTTTGTTAGTCCTTCAGACTGAAATGTTGTATAAAATGAGTGATTATAAGCTGTATTTACATTGAGCTTCCCTATGAATTATTTTAAAAGCTATTTATTCTGAAATATAGAGCATAGATTATATATTCTGTATACAAGATGAGATATATATAAACTAACTGTGCAATAATTAAGCCTTGATAACTGTAGCGATGACAAAATAGCACAATTAAGGTGTATTAAAGATTCATGACCTTGTAATTTGTGACCTTTATTTGACCTATGTTAATTACAACATTGTTATGACTGCATATAAACTCATTTGAATGCTATTTTTGTTAACTTTTGTTATGCAATATGTGTACAACTGAATAATAGAATAAAATATCTAACCACATTGTTTTAAACTTGTGCAATTCATTATTTACTTATGTCCAAGACAACTTATTACTATAATGAATTAACCGTTTCATATCAGTCTGCATCAAAGCAATGTCAAATGAAAGCATTCATATCCAGACGTCTTGTCAACATGAATCAAATAAAACATCACCTCATTCATCAGGCACTCATTCACTTGATAATCACACCCCAGCATCCGATAGCATTTCCAACAGAGGAAATCTTCATGTGCAGATCTTAAAGCATCCCTGTCTTTGTGCATGAAACCAAACGTCACTTTGATGTGGACTGGCGGGCATTTCAATGGCGTGTAATTGCTGGAATAAGCTGCCAGTAAAAGCGGCAGTCGTCATCAGAAGCCATCTAACGTGGCCCGTTTTCATTTATCAGTTCCCTTATTCCCATGGGATGTTGGAAATATGTCATTATGTGACATGTTTTTGATAGGATCCCTCCCAGCGTGGCTTCCAGATTGGCCCAAAGCAGCCAAAAGCCATTGTAAACCCCAATCCAAGCATTCAGATGCGATATTGGTGGCAGATGAACACTTATTTTTTAATTGTCTGATCACTTTGCTTTGAAACTAATAAAGTCTTTCACATCTTTTCTGTTTCCTTATTATTTTTCCTGAAGACTCATGGCGGTGGAGGACGAGTTGAGAGTAGGAGTGGTGCCTGAACACAAACCCAGAGTATTTGCGGATCAGGTCTGTCTTATTAGTTCTTTCTTTCTTTTCTCTCTCGCTCTCTGTTGTTTGCGTGTCTGTCCATCTATGTTGTAATGTGTCTTTGCTCGTTTGCTCTGCCTTGTCTGAAAGCTTTAGGACTGCTTTCCATGGCTGGTGTGTTGTTTTCAGTAAGTCACACTCATTGAGCACAGATTTGATCCACTTGAGGAAGAGCAGTACTGAAGGTACTGGATTATCCTGTGGGAATGCCTAAAGGGGTAGTTCGCACAAAAATTCTGATTTGCTGTTAATTTATGCATGCCATCCATGAGGTGTACACTGTAAAAATATCTGTAAATTAACAGTTTCAGAATATTTTGTGTTTTTCATTTATTTACAGTTGTAAATTGCTTTATGGGACTTTGATCTCTGCTTTGTCGACTGTTGATGTTGAAAATTCAACTATACACTTTAACAAAGTGACTTTTATTGATATTTTAGTAGTTTGAAATAACATAATGAATATGAAATAATATATAGAGAAATAAATCTGTAAAATAACAGAAAATGTGTTGCCGGTTTTTGTACCGTAATATACAACACCAACCCAGACAGTGGGCTCTATTTTAACGATCTAGGCGCAAAGTCTAAAGCGCAGAGCGCAAAAGCATCAAGGCCATGTCTGAATTCACTTTGCTATTTTAAGGACGGAAAAATACAGTCTGTGCTCCGGCACATGGTCTAACAGGGTTGTGCTTATTCTCATGAATAGTTATGGGTGTGTTTTGAGCATAACTACATTAAACCAATCTCCCATTATATCCTATTCTCTTAAAGAGTCAGTTGTGTGGTGCCATGGCGCATTTGCTATTTATATGGCAGACTTTGTAAGTAGAAAAACTGAACGCTTCACTAGCGAGAAAAGAGTTAAACAGACCATCTGCAGCGCGAGGATAAAGAATGAGCCTCCTCCATTCGGCCTCTTTACTTTCTTTTTACTTTTACTCTTTACTTTACTCCTTTACTTAGGTGGATGAGGAAACAGTGTTTTCGCACTCCGCTGAAGACATCCATTAACCTTTATATTGAATTTCGTTTGTTAAGCTCAAAGATGTGTTTAAAAACTATTTCTAAATTCATTTCTAATTTCCAGCAAAATAAATAAATAAACTATAATAATGAGATGTGGTCAAAAAACTGAGTTATATCCAAACACGCGTCCTATTCTTATGCCCCATATGGTGATACATACTTCTCCAAAACCCGACAGTTGCACAAATCTATACTTGTTTTTATTCAAACAATTATAAATATGCATTTAATAAATAATACTGCTAATAATAATAGCGTTATACCATACCTGCCAACACTCTCGTTTTTCCCAGGAGTCTCCTGTATTTCAGACCCATCTCCCACCCATCTCCAGTATTGTTCTGTCACCCGGAAAACCTCAGGAATTAACCTAAAAAAAGCCCCCCTTAGGTGAAAAAGGCATGGAGGCAGTGATTTTTCTAAATTTATGTAGAAAGTAATAATTTTTGTTCCATTTCAATCATATAATTTTTTTTCAAATGTAAAGATATTTGTGTATTGCTGTACATACTGTGTGTATTAAGCAATGTTAAGCGTTTGGACCTGCATAGTCGCATAACTAACATGCTCTGCGATTGTCTTTAGACAAACTTTTAGTTAGCAAATGGATTTGCTATTTTAACAACGTGCTGCAAAACGTGAAAGACTTTTGCGCTGGTCTGAAAATAGCAACAAATAGCACTAAGCACATCTTGCACCTTATTGCGCCGGGTATATGATAGAACCCAGTATATCACTTTAAACTATTGAAAATTTTCACAAGTCACTTATTCCAACTTTTTATGGGTAAAAGTTGTCGAAAGAAAGATCAAACTCTCAAAAATATTTTTTTTACAGTGTAGATAACTAAAAAAAATTGTAGAACAGCTAAAACTTTGGTTCTTGGTTACTTGAAAAATGCAAAAAAGGGACAGTTCACTCAAAACTGACCCATGCGTCATAATAAGATATGCCTTTCTTTTTTCAGTAGAGCATTAAAAAAAAATGCTCAAGCTTTTTTTAAGACACTTACAACATTTAAGTTTCATTTTATCTCTCTGCTTAATCTTATTGCAGTTTAGAAGAAACACTAAATAAATGTTTCTGCAAGGATAGATCTAGAAATGCGTTTCTGCTTTATTATTTATAGAGTTTAGTGCCGCTTTGCCTCAAGTGGAAAAATACACCACCTGGCCAAATATGTTATATTCTATATTTGGATCTTCATTGCAGTGAGTAATATGTTTCTGTGATTTTTAAAACTTTTCTTTTAAGGCAGGGGTGTCCAAACTCGGTCCTGGAGGGCTGGTGTCCTGCATATTTTAGTTCCAATCCTAATTAAACACATCTGAACCAGCTAATCAAGCTCTTTCTAGGTGTACTAGAAACTCCCAGGCAGGTGTGTTGAAGGAAAACTGCAGCTAAACTGTGCAGGACACCGGCCACCACTGTTTGAAGGGTTTAGTTCACTCTGAAATCAAAATGATCTTATTAGTTTTCCCCTCATATAATTTCAATCCCTTGAGACCTTCATTTATCATCAGAGCACACATTAAGAAGTTTTATATTAAATCTGAGGCTTTCCCCATCCTCCAGATACAGCATTGGCCCAGAACCATTCAAAGTCCAGAAAAGGAACTGAAGATTTTGTTAAAACAGTTCATGTAACTTCAGTGGTTCAACTGTAATCATACCAAGCTCAATAGACACTTTTGTGTGCTGAAAAACAATGTTTTCTTTTCCTCATCAAGTGTTTTTGGAGCTTGGTATATTACAGTTGAACCACTGAAGACACATGGACTGTTTCAACAATGATTTTGGTTGCTTTTCTGGACTTTGAACGTCTCTGAAGGGTTGCTGTTTATGGAGGATGAGGGAGCTCTCGAGTTTCATCCAAAACATGTGTATATAATTTTTGCTCAGAAAATTTAAGTTCTCATGCTATTTGAACGATATGAGGATGAATAATTATTGAAAGAATTAAATTTTTTTCTTAACCCAATGGACACCTTGATGTCAAAACAACATTAAAAACACATTAAACATCAAAAATGCGAATCAATTTGATGTCAACATACTTTGATGCCAAAATGGGCAGCATGTTACCACAGTGGTAAGCACTGTCACCTCACAGCAAAAAGGTTGCTAGTTCGAGTCCCAGGCCAGTTGGTATTTCTGTGTGGAGTTTTCATGTTCTCCCCGTGTTGGCGTCAGTTTCCATCGGGTGCTCCAGTTTCTCCCACAATCCAAAGACATGTGCTATAGGTGAATTGAGCAAACCAAAAATAACCCTAGTGTATGAGTGGATTTGTATGTGAGAGTGGATGGGTGTTTCCCAGTACTGGGTTGCAGCTGGTAGAGTATCCACTGCGTAAAACCTGCTGCAATAGTTGACAGTTGATTCCGCTGTGTGGCAACCCCTTATAAATAAGGGACTAGCCAAGGAAAATGAATGAATGAATGTCAAAGTGAAATCAATTGGCATCTAACATTGGTGTCAAAAAACATTCTCACTATCCTTTAGCTTAGTCCCTGATTTATCAGGGATCTCCACAGCGAAATTAACCAACAATTATTTCAACATCTTTAACAGCTTATACATGCATTGTAGTGATACAAAATCCAGTGTACATTACTAATTCAGAATTGAAGCTTTCTGATGACTAAAACTTTTTTTATATTACAGTACTTTTTGTGTTGTTATTTTGGTGATCAAAAGGGCATCAATAAGTGGATGTCAAATGGACGTCATGGTTTTGACATCAAATTGATTTGCGCCTTTTATGTAATTTTTTTTTACGTCATACTTGATGTCAGTTTGATGACTCTTTGAAATCAAGGTGCCAGCTGTGAAGTCTATTAGATGTTTGGAGGACGCTGTGTCTATTATCCAATCATCGACTCTAAAGTACTTAAATCCAATCAGTGCTTTTTTTTTGGCTAGACAGTGTATTTGTATTATATTAAAGGGGTAGTTCACCCAAAAATGAAAATTTACTCATTATTTATTCACCCTCATATGATTCCAAACCTTTATGAGTTTCTTCTGTTGAACACAAAATAATATAATTTAAAGAAAGCTGAAAACCTGTAACTATTGACTTCCATCATAGGAAATACAAATAATATGGAAGTCAATGATTAAAGATTTCTAGCATTCTTCAAAATATCTTAATTTGTTTTTAACAGAAGAAACTCCAACACTTTTGAAACAAACGAAGGGTGAGTAAATATTTGGAGAATGTTCAGTTTTGGGTGAACTATCCCTTTAAACTCCAGTACCTCCAGTCAGGAAATAGTATGAAAATGCTTTATGTTTCTTTCCATATGTCGTCCCTCGCTTCTTTTTAATGCTTGACTTTCTCATAAGTGGTGCATCGCTGTACTGTATGTGACAACAAACACCAAATTCTCAGTGGTTTCAGTCTGTGCACACTCAACCTGCTCTGATCAAGTGCTCCAGCTCCATCTAAATCGACTTCCAATGTGACTTTGAAAAGGAGAAAGTGGATAATCCTGCTTCTGACAAGATAAGATAAGATAAAAAAAAAAGCGAGTTGAGTAGAAGTGAGGAAAACTGCTGAGTGGACAGAAGCTCAGATCAGCACCGTCAGCACTGAGTCTCCTGCAGAATACAATTAGAGAGAGAGAGAGAGAGAGAGAGAGAGAGAGAGAGAGACCTCTACAGATAAAGCTCAGGTGGGCAACAAATTCAGAAGAAGTGCAACTGTAATGTTACTGATGAAAACATCCTTTAATGTGTATTTAACAACCTTAAAACCAGATCCAGTCTTATTAAAACACTTTGTTCTGTTGATTTGCCTTAAATTATTTCTTAATTAATTATTTACTACTTGAATTGATAAAAAATTAAAAAATGTATCAAGCGTATTAATATAAAATCAGTGGTGGATGGAGTATGCAAGTTACAGAGTAAAAGTGTAAAAGTCCTTCTTTTTTATTATTAC